ACCGACTGGCAGGCGCGTCGTCGCCATCAGGGCCAGCTCGGCCCCCCGAGGGCGACCATTCTGGTGGCCCCCCATTGCGCGAGGCGCCGGCGGCGCTTCCTCCGGCGGCGCCCGCCCCCGCGACGTTGCACTCGCCCCCCTCGCGACGGGCCCGCCTTCTGGCGGAGCGCGCGCATGGGCCCGCGCTTCCCTTTGCACCGCGGTTCGAAGCACTTGCCTTCCACGGCAAATGCCTCGCGTGACTGTCGAGCGCCCAGCCCGTCGGCCAGCCCCGTCGCCGCCTTCGTCAATTCCCCGGGGGGGCGCAGCAGGCACTCGCCTGAATTTCGTGGGCCCCCATGGGCCCAGTTGCGGGCGGACGCGGCTCAGCGGGCCCTTCGGCCTTCTGCGAGTTCTCCGCGCGTCGCTTGCAGGCGCCGATTTTCCGGGAGTTCCACGCGCCAGTCGACGGGCCTCTCGCCGGTCTTAGTTGGGCCGCCCCACGTCGAGCCCGCGCTCCGCCCCTGGACCGACGCCGAGGCAAAGATGACACTCCGCCCGCGCCCTCAACAAGGACTCGCGAGTGGGCGACGCGGGGGCGGCCTTCGCCCGAAAGAGCGCGCCGCCCCAGTGCACGAGGAACTCGCCGAGATTAAAGCCCCCCATTACGTCGGCGTCGCGGCGGGCGAAGTCAAAGAAGCAGCCGCATGCTTCTACGAGCCTTGCCAATCCAGACTCGCGAGCAGGATGTGCCGCCCTTTGCGGAACCGACGAGTGGTCTCTCCTTCCGCGCGTCGACTCTCCTCTTAAGGTCGCTGTGTTGGAGCTGTCGCTGCGGGCCGCGGCTACCTCCATATCGAGCGCCCAGAAATCGCCGCTGAGCCCCCGATCACGCGGACCGATGCGCTATCTTAGTCTGCCAGACGCAGAGAGCACCGCCCCCCGCTCGCCACCCTTCCGCGCTCGGAAAGTGGCGCGGCGAGCAGACCTCGGCATTCAACCTTTCCGGCCTCTTTGCTCTTCTTCGCGTGATTCATCGGCGCCTGAATTGCATCTCCGACGGCGCTCCGCCGCTCGCGGCCGGCGACCCACCGCCCGCGCTGCGAGGCTCTGACTCAGATAAGGGCGGTGGCGCGCGTCTCCGATGGTTGCCCTGGATAGGCGAGCCCGCAGGGCTGCCATTGGAGCGGCGGGCTCGTGCTGGCCAGGAATATAATTTCTGGACGCGGCGCGACCATCAGAATTCCAGCGATTTCGCCCTTGCCGCGTGCTCTTCGCACCGGTCACTTCATGCTCGCGTCGGGCGGCCCTTCCGCTGCGCCCCGCGCGCGCCGCGGGGGGGCCCCCCGCCGCCTCGCGCAGGCGCGCCGCTGGCGTCGCAGCGGGCCCCCCCTCCGTCGCCGCCCGCGCAGGGGGCGCGAGGGCGTTCCGCGCCGGCGCCAATGGCGACCTGGCCCTGGCGACTGTCCACTCAGCAGGGACACGGATTGCAGCGATCTCGCGGCCGTGCCCGCGCGCCTCGCGACCGGCGTCAACTGCCCAGCAGAAATCACAATGGGTTGCCTCTCTGCTTCCTCGGGGGCACCGCCCACTTCCTCGTTGATCGAATCGATCAGCTTGCTCATCCTGGAAAATTCAACAGCCGCTTCATGTCCAATCCTTGCTATGTCGGACACGTGCACCGCTGCGCCCGTCTGCAGCTGGTCGTCAAAACTGGCATCAACATGTCCACGTGCTGCGAGCCTCTGGCATGTGCATCTGGCCTGTTACTGCAAGCGAATCACACAGCTTCGCGCATGGAGACCACGCCGCTGTCCTCCGAGGCTTGACGATCCGTGCTGCAGAGCTGCCCTCGGGGCGCTGCGGGCGATCGCGCCAATCCCGATGGTTGCGATTTCTGTCATTTGGCATGTGATATGCTGCAGTCCTGTGTTTTGGGCGAACTGTTGCCTTCTCAAGGCCCCGACGGTCGCTTGGAAGTGTTGCAGCAGGTGGTTCGTGAGCGCAGTGCGCTCTTGCTTGGTCTCTACGACCATGAACCGTTGGCCCATTGTCCTTGCCGCCCGCGGTCTCCGGCGCTCAGAACTACCAAGGCTTCTGCAGCAGCGCGAGCGTCGGCACCCATGGCTGGGCGGACTGTTTGCGGCCGGCTAGCCAATCCGGCTGTTTGTCGACTATCTGCGGCGACAGCCCAGGCTTGCCGGCCACCCCGCCCGTCGTCTGCTCTCGCACATTCAAGGAAGGTGCCGCGAAGAGCTGAATACTTCTTTCCGTTGATTTTGAAGAGCGCGTCGTTGCTGCTCGAACTGCCCCTGGAACGCCATGTGTGCGTCGAGTAGATCGTTCGGTGGCTCTGGGGCGTCAGTTCGACGCTTCCTGAATGAGGTCCGAGGGGTGGTCGCGAAATCTGCATCGCTCGCCGTTGCACAATCTGGCCTCGTCGAGCTGACGCTGCAATTGTGTCGCGCGCTGGAGTGCGACAACAGGGGGGCGCGTCATCGACGGGGCAGGGCGCGCAACCCCACAGCATTGCGGGCTTTCCCGTTGTCATTCTGAGTACGGTAGGCCTTCCCGTCGCAGTAGGTCCCCCCCGCCCCCACAACTTCGCCCGTCGCATGAGGTATCCCCACCGCTTCGCCCGTCGCTGCAGGTCCCCTTGCCGCTTCGGCCCCGCTGTCGGGGGCGCTTGCAGGCGCCGGGGTCCCGACGATTGGGGCTACGAGGATGTTACCTTTCGCATCAGGACTTCGGCCCCGCCTGGCCGCGGCGGCGTGAGCCGATAGGCCGCGATCGGCCGCGTTTCCCTCCGCCGCGAAGGAAGTATCGGAGATGATGGTCTCGAGGTTCGCATCTAGCGTTCCCGAAGTTTCCATCTTACTGCGCGGCACTTGCGCCGCTTCGGCTGGTAACCTGGATTTGGGGTATCTTCAGCCCCTGAGGCGAAGTCCCCTGGGTGAGCATATGGGCCTCGGCTCGCCTACAAAAAAAGGTCAACTTACCTTAAGCCCGCACCAAGACTTCGGTGCGCACACCGGCCGTGGCGACGTCGTGACCCCACGGAAGGTCCGCACGCAATGATCACGACAACGGGATTGGGAGCACGGGGGGCCAGCCGGAGCATAAATGCTGAGCGGCGGCGAACTCTCACCCACACCCTGAAGCGCATCGGCAACGGCAGGATGGCAGGGGACGAAGGGCAGAGCGGGGAATGCCAAGACTGACCCGGAAACACCCGAAACCCAAACGGGGCAAACGCCAAAATAACCATGCGCCAATTGGGAAGGGTACAGCGGCAGGTTCTGCATGTATTCGGGCACTTCGGATCAGGCTGTGTCGCGCGTTGGTCTGCTCGATGCATGTGGCGGCTATCGGAAAAGGAATATCTCAAGCGCGTGCTGCCTGGTGAGCTAGAATACCTGCGCTCCTTTTCGATGATGTGGCCGGCTGTTCCACAATATGTTGGCAACCGTCGTCCGCACCGCTAGGTTGTCCTGATTATCCTGCTTATCCCTCTTCCTCCCTTCTTTCTCCTACATATTGCTCCTCCTCATCCTCTTCCTCTTCCTCTTCCTCCTCCTGCTCCTCCTTGTCCACCTCCTCCTCCTCCTCCTTCTCCTCCTTCTTATCCTCCTCCTCCTCCTCCTCCTCCTCCTCCTCCTCCTCCTCCTCCTCCGTCCTCCTCCTCCTCCCTCCTCCTCCTCCTCCCCGTCCTCCTCCTCCTCCTCCTCCTCCTCCTCCTCCTCCTCCTCCTCCTCTCTCCTCCATCTCCTCCTGATCATCATCATGCTCCTCCTCCTGCTCCTCCTCATCCTCCTCCGCCTCCTCCCCCCTCCTCCTCCTCCTCCTCCTCTCCTCCTCCTCCTCCTCCACGACCTTCTCCTCCTCCTCCTCCTCCTCCTCATATTATTTTTCTTGTTCTTCCTCGTGCTCCTCCTCGCACGTAGCCCACTATCCTCCTCCTCCTCCTCCTCCTCCTCCTCCTGCGCCTCCTCCTCCTTCTCCTTCTTGACCACCTCCTCCTCCTCCAGCTCCCCCTCCTCCTGCTCCTTCTCATGCGTCATCTCGAATAAAGCAGGAGGTAGAGAGTGAAAGGGTCCCAGTGGAAACAGGCCGTTCCCCACGAACATTCCTTTCATCATGAATTGATATTGGGCGAGCCCAGAGACCGAAAAGGGCGCAAGAGCTCGAAGAATATGAGACGCTACATCCGGACCTCCTTCAAAAAGGAGGGAAAGCAGAAGGAAGGGAGGGAAAAGAAGGAGGAGGAGGAGGAGGAGGAGGAAAAGGACCACCTCTAAGGCAAAGGTGTTCCTCAAGCTCTGAGCCTCGGAATGGGCGGTCTCGGCCCTGACCTGCGCCTCAGACTGCGCATGCTCCTGGGCGGCATGATGCCAAGGCAAGGGGAGGATGGGAATAGGGGGAGGAAGAGGAGGAGGAAGAGGAGGAGGAGGAGAAGAAGGACACCTCCGTGAACTTCTTCGGCGGGGAGATCATTACCCCACCAGCTGGGGGGCGGAACGAGAGGGGGACGGGGGAGGACCAGACCAGGATACGACAGCAGGGCAGCAGAAGGGGAGGAGAGCAAGGGGAGGGAGGGAGGAGCGGAGTACAGATGCGCGGCTTCACCTGTTCGAATGAGTTCGGGAGCTTTCGGAGAATCGAGGGATCATCGGGAATTCTAGAGGATGAGAAGGGCCGGGAAGGGGGAGGGGGAGAAGGGGTGAGGGGGAGACTGGGAGATCGGGGGGACAGATGAGGACGGGGAGAGGGTGCATAAGGAGCATGCTTTCGAGTGACGGACGAGGAGGAGGAAGGAAACACATGGTTTAAACATCTATGCAAAGCTACACCGCGGTACACTCAGGTGACTGGGTGAAACCATCTGAGGCCTGGGTGCACCTGCCGTGAAGCCATCCACGAGCAAGCGCCCGTAGATAAACGATATCACAGACATGGACGCGTATACAGGACGGCGAGGAGACCAACGCGGCCGCAACCGCCGCAACCGCCTTCCCCAATGCTTCCACGTAGCACTCGACCACCTGCCTCTGCGCCTCCACGGCATCCGAGAAGACGTTCGAGTCCGCCTTCACCCAGTCGAGATAGTCCAGCTCTTGAGCCAGGCGCTCCTCGAGGAGCGATGCCCTGATACGCCTGGATTCAAGGCTCCTGTGGTCCACGGGCGGCTCCATGTTGAGAGACACCTGATGCTCCGCGTGCGTGACGGCCGCATCGGCCATGAGCGGCGTGCGAGCGGAACCGCTGCCCAGAGCGTGACCGCCCAGAGCATCCACAGGAGCGGCGAAGCAGCGACAGTCAGCAGGCACATCAAACAAACCTTGGAGACCTCGTTGCGCTATCTGCTGATGCGCGACGGACCGCGCGCCCTCTCGGCCCTCAACGATGTTGCCAGCAGGAGACTCGCACTCGCCGACGTCGCTGAGTTGCTCGACCATCTAGTCCTTCCGCTCGGACCCGAAAGAGAGGGCAGCCTCCAAGATGGGCATCGCCGCCTCCGTTTCCAGCCTCTCGCAGCCAGGGAACTCCAGGTCGAGTTCCTTGTCATAATGGCCCTCGCCGCCCTCCGCGTCGCACTCGCGCAGTCGGATCGGGACTCCGAGGCCACCGTAGCGGCCCCCGCGCACGTATGGACCTGCTCATGCGCGGACTCCTCGCGCTCTATCTCGAGTGCCGCCAGGCGCCAGCCCGCCTCGAGCTCGCAGCCGAAGGCGAAGGACTCCGTCCCGGGGTCGCGCAACCCCCAACCTGGCGCAAGCCAGCTGGAGCCCCCACGTCCATGTCGCCCTGCGCCTCCTCGCCCTTGTCTCCCAGCGCCGAGGGAAAGGAGAACAGAGGTGCTAACGACCACACCTCGGCGTCGTCGCCCCGTTTTCGCATGCATCTTCCCCAGTCAGTACAACGCGTCGTGGCCCCATAGGGAGCTCCACCGAAAGCCCCACTGGCGGCGTTCGCATGCGTCTCCCCATCCACTACAGCGCTTCGTGGCCCTAAAGGGAACTCCACCGGAGGCCCCAGTGGGGCTGTTCGCATGCGTCCCCCCACCCAATACCGCGCTTCGTGGCCCCATCAGGAGCCCCACCGACAGCCCCAGCGGCGGTGTTCGCATGCGTTCCCCCCCACCCAGTCAGCGTTCCGTGGCCCCGTAAGGAGCCCCACCGAATGCCCCAGTGGAGGTGTTCGCATGCGTTTCCCCTACTCAGTACAGCGCTTCGTCGTCCCATAGGGAGCGCCACCAGAGGCCCCAGTGGTGGCCCCATAGGGAGCTCCACAGAAGGCCCCTGTGGTGGTGTTCGCAAGAGTCTCGCCCACCCAGTATACCATTCGATGGCACCATATGGGAGCCCCACCGAAGCCCCCAGTGGCAGTGCTCGCATGCGCCCCCCCCGCCCAATACAGCGCTTCGCGGACCCATAGGGAGCGCCACCGAAAGCCCCAGTGGCCGTTCGCATGCGTCGCCCCCACTCAGTGCAACGCTTCGTTGCCCTATTGGGAGCTCCACCGAAGGCTCCTGTGTCGGCGCACCCCTGGCGCGTATCGCGTCCCCATAGCGGGTTCCACCTAAAGCCCCAGCGGCAACGATCACATGGCGGCCCTGCCCCATATTGGCACACCCTTCGCATTCTTCATGGCCCCATGAAAAGATCCCCCGAGGGCGATACCCGCAACGACAGTACTCACAACTGCATATGGCTGGGTCCTTCGCCAAGATAGTGTTCATACCGCCGCCGCATCAACCACCACATTTCCAGATAAGCGCGATGTGAAATTCGGCGTAGCACGTGTCGCTGTCCGCCGTTAATCTGGAGAGCTGCGTCTTCACAGCCGGCGTCATCAAAGGAGACAGTGTTCCTGATTTCGAACTACGCACTACCCGACGGACGAGGGGCGGCTGTCTGCCAGTACAGCCATCAAAGAGAGGGCTAGGCTGACGCATCCTGAATTGGAGCCTCGCCAAGAGGGCGTACCCGGGAGAACGACCAGGGGGCGGACAGCACACTGGCTGCCGCGGAGGCGGCCCGCGCTGAGGACGTGGACAACGCCTACCAGAAGAGGGCGGAGGCCGGCCTCTGGCGCAGGGCCCAGCGCTCTGACCGCATGTGGTTTCCACCACGCAAATCAGCCCCCAATTGTCCGGGAACGAAGCCGCGACGGTGCGCACGCCCGTTTCGTAGGCATCGAGCGGGCCAGCCACGCTGAGGCCGAGCTTCAGGGCGGCCGTGCGGAAGACCCTCCAACCGCGGCGCCACGCCGTGAAGTCCGGCGGGCCCTCTACGACCTTGGTCAGCCACTCGCCGGCGATGAATACCTGGTCGCGGAAACTGAAGAACTTGGCAGTCCGCTCCCCCAAGGGGCCCCAAATGTCGAAATCGGCGTACGAGGCCTCGTCTTGTGCCAACAAGAAGGCCAGGGCGGAGACCTGCTCAGGGGATGTGTCTTCGTAGTCTGCTGTGGGGCCGCCGTTGGTGACCTCGAATGTCTCTTCGATCTCCTTGAGCTCGGCCTTGCCAAGCATGCGGTACTCCCGCCGGTCGCCCTGGATGATGACCGTGCTGAATTCCCGACCGCGGACTCCTGCCGTCACTGGCTGTTCTTCCTGGGCTGGCGTGAAGATGCCCAGTTGCGGAAGGTCGAAGCCATCCAGTGCCCCAAGTTGGCCCAGCTCCCGTACGAAGCGGCCGCGCTGTATCCCTGTAAGCGGTTGGCCGCCTGATCCCGTCTCGGCGGCAATGGCAGTCTCAAGATCGGCCTCGAGGACGGAGAACAGGTTCAGCAGAGTGGTGTCCTCACCACCTCCCAAACGCATGACCAATTCGGGAAAGGCATCCGCGGTGAAGCCCAACGTCTGCACAGCCACGGTGACGAACACGCCTCCGTACGTGCCGCCTGGGACCGCCGCGCGGGGCTGAGCTGGGGCGCTCGCGGAGGCCTCGCCCGGAACAGCATTGGATTGTGGTGCCTGGGGTGCGCCACCAACTGGCCCCGGCGGCGGAGCAAGCCCCGCGGGAGGCGCGGCCGCCCTCGCCTTCGCAAAAGGCTGCTCCGAACCACCGAGGTTGAGGCCAACTGCCAGGCCGGCGGGTGGCACCAATGGAGCCGCCACTCCCCCCGCGGTAGGTGTGAGCGGACCCTGGCAGTGAAAGAAAGTGAAGGACCCACCCCTGAATCAGAGCGGGCGCGACTGGACCCAAAATGGTCACAACAGATGCGCGCCTCGCTGCGCACCCACGCCGCCCGCCCTCATTGCACCCCCGTTCACGAGTGAACTATGCCGACGCCTACCAGAAGAAGGCGGAGGCCAGCCTCTGGCGCAGGGCGGAGGCAGTAGCAGGCAGATGCCCGCCGAGAGGCAGAGGTCCAACGCCAGGCGGTTGCCCAGTGCGAAATGGATAACCAGCGCCGCGCAGAGGCTGAGCGCGGGCAACGGGATGAGGAAGAAGCCGCGCAGCACCGAGCTGCGGCCCACCGCGAGAAGGAGGATGAGGGTGAGCGCGAGGCCACCTAGAGGAGCTTCCACCCAGCGCCAAGCGAGGACGACAACCCGCAAGGGCCCCCGCCACAGCTCTTGCGCCTGATGCGGGATGCCTACATGGAACCCCGCAAAACCGACCTCCACTCCCACTCTAGATATTCGATCCCAGTTCGATCCAACTGATGACCAGACGACGCCCCATGGTGCGAAGTCATCACGGGCCATTTTGGCGGCGCCAGCAACGCGGACCGAATGCGGGAGGCCACAAGAATTACCCTGAAGTGCAGCATCCAGGAGGTACACGCCGACGGCAGATGGGTCACCGTCCTCGTCGCCCCCTTGGCTGCCCACCACCAAGCCCTGCTGGCCGCCTTCAACATGGTCGATGACATCAAAGGCGATACGTACGACGCGCCTGCGGGCAGGGGCTCCACCGAGACCCGTCGCCACGGGGATAGATGCTGGGCGTGCAACGACCCAGGCGCCCAGAACGGCTAGGCGACCGACCGTAGGCGCCGCGGCGGACGACGAGGCTGGCAACATGTCTCATAGCATAACGTAACGACCGTCGATGTATGCGCAACGCTGTGCGGCGGGGGGGGGGCATCAGCGCCACCGCAGCCGCTGAGAAGAGCCCGGAGCCACCCTCTTCATTCCTTCCCTCCCCCCTTTAGCATCTCCTCCCTCCTCCCCCCGACCACCTCCGGTAGGCACCTTGGGCACGAGGCCGCCCGGCGCTGCGCGACGAGGAGGACGAAGGTGGGACATGTGAGGATAGCTTTTCGGGGTGAAGGACTCGCCTGGCGATCATCGCAATGTTGCCGCCATGTGTGCCGATATGTGGCCACGAAACGCTGTACTGGGTGGGGGAAATGCATGCGAACACCACCACTGGGGCCTCCGGTGGAACTCCCTATGAGGCCACGAAGCGCTGTATTGGGTGGGGGAAAACGCAGGCGCACACCGCCACTGGGGCCTTCGGTGGGGTCGCTTCCCTTACGAGGAAACGAAGCGCTATATTGGGTGGGTGAGACGCATACTAACACCGCCTCTGCGGCCACTCCCTGCATCCGCGGTCGACGAGTAAGTGCGAGCGCAGCGCGCACGGCACCGCGCGCCCGCTGTTGGGCAAAACGGGTTTGCCATGAAGTAAGGGGAGGATTAGAAGCTGGCGCGGCGGACGCAAGCTCGTGATAATATTGCACAATGGCCTGCTTGCGGGCCCAGCACGTTGCACACCACGTGCCACTGCTGAGAGCGGGGAGGCTCAGAGACTCCTGGGCGGCGGCCTCCAATCGCCAGATATGACGTGCAAGTGAGCACCACAGAATTGTAGGAGAGAAGGGTAGGAGGAGGAGGAGGAGGAGGAGGAGGAGGAGGAGGAGGAAAAGGAGGAGAAGGAGGAGGAGGAGGAGGAAGAGGAGGAGGATGAGGAGGAGGAGGAAGAGGAGGAGGAAGAGGAGGAGGAGGGGGAGAAGGAACGCGGGGCGCTGTCTCTTCAAAACGAGGGCCCAACACCACAGCATGGTTGAAGAAAAAACGGGTGGGGCGCCCCGCTCACCCGCTGCCTGGAGCTTTAACGCCAAAATCGGGCCCAGGCCTGAAACTGGGAGCCCCGGGAGCGCCCCAAGTCTGCCCCGAGCGGGGCGGGATGAGGCGGGAGCGAGGGAAACCGCCTCCCCCTCTGTTGGGAGGCGGCTTGAGCCCCAAAGGGGCACAGAGGAGGTGAGGCCCCCCCTGCCACCTGCGGCGGCGGGGGGAATCAGGACCTCCTCACCCTCCCCCCTCTGGAGTCCGACCCCCCCAACCAACCAGCCGACCGAACAGGTCGACACCGACGTCGACGACGACGACGATGACGAACGACGGTGCGCTGCGTCTTGGGGCAATACCACCGAAGGGGGGAGGACCCCCGCCTTCTTGGTGATGGGCCTCCTGAGGCCGCAAGCCCACCTGGGCGTCCGA